TTGTGAGGGCGGTGGGCCCTGAGGTGAGAGGGGTGAAGGGAGTGGGCCCTGGGGGTCCTGAGGTGTGAGGGTGGTGGGCCCTGGGGGGTCCTGAGGTGGCAGAGGTGAGGGCGGTGGGCCCTGGAGGGCCTCAGGGTGCTGACAGCCCCTCAGGCTGGCCTGGAGCATGGGCCCGTTTGACATGGAGGCAAGGGGGTCGGTGGTGGCTGAGAGGTTGAGGTTCTGCTGGGGAGGGAAACCAGTATGGTGGGGCTGTCCTACACATGCAGCACTTTTCGGGGGGTGGTGGGGGGGGCAGGGGCAGGCGCCATGCTTGGAGCTGCCCTCCGGTCACAGGCCCAGGAATGGGGGAGGGCTCAGTGCCTGCCGTGGGGCAGCCACCTCCAGTGAGGGGCTGCCAGGGCTCAGCATTAGGTATTGGGGGCTTTTGCTGAAGTGTGACGTGTCTGGAAGAGTGGGCAGCAAGAGGCAGAGAGCTGGCACAGAGCTCTCAAAGAGCCCAGCTGGATGCCTGAACCTTTCCTGCTTGCTCATGTCCCCTTCTGGCCTTAAGATTTTGTGCTTTCAGTCTGGCAATACAGGGAGATCAAGGGAAGCTCTAGGTACCTTGCACTGTCTTTAGAGGAGGGCCCAGGCCATTCCATGTTTCATTTAGAAGTCTGCTTGTTTGAATTTTTATTGCGGAAAGTTATTTCTTTTCATTTGTTGTGCACCCCTCTTCCTCAGACCTCCGCTGCGTGCCCCTTCTTCTGTCTTCACTGTCTGAAATCACAGGACTATTTCTTGCTACTTTATTTTTTAAAAGTTTTGTCTGCTTTTTAGAGACTCTAAACAAAAGCAATGTTTCCTCCTTAGCTTGTAGTTCAACTGGTCTATATGAGCTTTTCCTAAGGGGGGGGAGGGGGGAGGCAAAAAGTATCTCCTGTCTGAATGGCTACTGTAGGAAATCTCGAGAGCACTGAATCTTTTTCTCAGCCTCTGCAGTGACAAAAGTTTAAGTGGCTTCATGAAGTGTTAGACGAGGTCATAGGTTTTAGCTTGGTGTATTAAAATCAATAGCCTGTGTGTGATCCCCAGGGGCTGTGGAGGGGTGTGCCAAGGAATCAGTTACTCTGCTCAGCACAGAGTAAGAAACCAGATTTTGCCCCTGGCCTTCAGATGACATCCTGAGCTAAATGGACTGCTGGTGTGTTCCAGCCCAGCCATCCCGATAGCTCTAGGAGCTACCTCCGTTCTGCCATCTCTGTCGTTGGTGCCCAGCTCTTTCCTCAGAGACAGCTTTATTCCTGGCTGCAACCACTGGGCATAGAGTCTGTTCCTGGCACTCCTCTGACGAGCCTGGTTTGGCTTAGTAGTGATTGGACATGAGAAGGGCAAATACTTGAGCCTCAAAGTGAAATGTTAAAACAACTGAAATAAGCCTCTTCACGTAATCTTCCCTTTGAAGGTGCTTCTTGGAGCAGGAGCAGCATGAGGATGCTCCACTTCTAAAATTG